CGACTCCCTCACCAGCTACATCTAAGACGAGGCAATGCAGGAGGCCGAGCAGCCCACGGAGCTCCTTCCGCTTGAGAGTTACGCTGCACCAACGAAGAAGAATCGTCATCAAGTACAGCACAGGAAGCTGGGCGGAGGTGGTAGCGGATGGGGGCGGTCGACGAAGGACGTCGACGAGAAGAGGTCGACGCGGGATAAGGGCCGAGGAGGTGGTGGTCGACGGCGGGAGTGCTGGATCTGCCACGACCCTGACCACCTTTCCTACGAGTGTCCCGACCGCGATGACAGCGACGAGGACGACACCAAGGGAGGCCGCGGTCGATCGACCAGCCGTCGCCCACGTCAAGATGCAAAGCCGCGCAAGGAGAAGCAGATGTCGAAGAAGACGTCGTCGACGAAGGACGTCGACAACTCCAGCGGCAAGAGCCGAGGCGACGGGGAGGCGTCGTGCTCGATGGTCGGTGTAGTGGAGCCGACAGTCTCGCTGGTGCCGGAGGCTAGCGAGGACTTCCACGTGGTGGCGGCAGCTGTGCAAGCCAACCCGATGGCGGTGCTACTCGACAGCGGCTGCTCCTACCACCTGATGGGGACGAAGGCGGTCTTCGTCGACATGGCGCCAAGCGACGATGTAAAGCACGTGCGTAGATTCAACGGGGCGCTGCAGCCTGTCGAGGATTGTGGAACCGTCGCCCTGCAAGGGGAGGCCGGGAAGCGGGTCCTCATCATCGACGTGCTCTACGTTCCGGGCGTACAGGTAAACCCGCTATCTGCTGGCCAGCTGAAGGAGAGCGGAGTGCAGCTGCAGGGCGACGACGTCGAGATGCTGCTCGTCGCTGCGACCGGGGAGGTGCTCAGTCGAGCACGCTACAACGGACGAGTCCTCTGCACCGACCTTCGCCCCTGCTCGATGCGATCGTCGTCGACCAAGGTGGTGGCACTACAGACGATCGTCTCGGCGACGAAGTCGACCCCTGATCGGTTGCATGCGAGGCTCGCGCACGGCGGCGTCGACACGATCAAGAGCTCGGCGAAGCATGAAGTTGCTACTGGGCTCAACATCAAGCCGTCGACCTGAGCAGACCCGCCGTGTGTCTCGTGCGTCGGAGGAAAGCTGGCGTGGCACACCTTCCCCGACAAAGGCTCGGACGCCGAGGAGGCGCTGGCTGTCGTGCACATTGACTTGTGCGGGCCATTTCGGGTTGCTGCCAAGGATGGCAGGTTATACTTCCTGCTGCTGAAAGATCGCCACACTCGATTTGTTTGGGTGATGCTGGTCGCTAAGAAGAGCGACGTGCTACGGGAGTTCCAGAAGTGGCTGGTGCTGGTGGAATGGCAAGCGAAGAAGTCAGTGCTGATGCTCCGCTCAGACCGGGGAGGGGAGTTCCTCGGGAAGGAGTTCACCGACTTCGTCGACGGCACATCGTCCACGACCTGACATGCCCGTACACTCTGCAGCAGAACGGCATGGCTGAGCGAGAGATGCGCACGACCGTCAAGTCCGTGAGGACGATGCTGCTGCACATGGGCGTGCGGCACCACTGGTGGCACCTCGCTCTACGACAAGCTGTCTAGGTGCGCAACTGCTTGGATTGGTCGACGACGCCGCCGGGGACGACTCCGTACCAGCTGCTGACCGGGAAGAAGCCCGACCTCACGCTGGCGCGGGTGTGGTGGCTGCATGGTGCAGTTCATGGTTCCTGAGCAGGAGCGCGGTGGGAAGCTGGCGCCGAAAGCTCGCTGGGGGCTTCACTTGGGTGTGTCGCCGGAGAGCAAGGGTTGGGAGGTACTCGATCTGACCAACAAGGTGGTCACGTCGGTCGAGGTGATATTCTACGAGACGCTATCGATGGAGGTGTGGAAGGCGAAGTTTGGGCCAGCGTCGGGGCGGACGCAGGCACACCCGCCGACGGACACCTCGACGGCAACGGTTCCCTTGCTCGCCGAAGTCGACGAGCCTGCTGATGAGGATGTTGTGGAGGTTCTTCCACCTTCCCCTGTTCTTGCTCCTCCCTCCCCCGTCGCAGATCGGCCTGCGTTGACATCTGTGTCGGCCACCGGCGATGAGGGGAGCCTTAAGGCGTCGCCTGTAGCGCTGGCCAGTGGCATTGCCGGCGGTCGACAAGGTGCTAAGTTTGTCGAACAGGATGGGAAGACGTCGACGACAGGGGAGCAGCAAACAAGGGAGCCGGTCGAACCGGAGGCAGCAGCAGGGGTGCAGTCAATAGGGGAGCAGCAGACGAGGTGGTCAACAGGGGAGCTGTCAAAGTCAGCCGGAGGTGAGCCAGCTGGTCGAAGGTTCGAAGCAGCTGGTCGACGACTTGGCCGTCGACGAAGAAGGGGAGCTGTCGGCAGGAGAAGAGTCCACCGACAGTGACGTGGTGGAGATGCCGATCACGGAGCCTGAGTTGCGACGCACAGGTCGATCTCGACGGCCGCCGGAGCGGCTGAGCTTCCACGCCTATCTACCGCCAGCTGCCTTCACCACTGTGCACGACGAGGTCGACGACGACCTGTTGTACGATGACGCCGAGGAGGATGAAGAACTGCCGGATCTCGACCCCGACGTGCATGCCGACCCCGAACACTGCTGGGACATCACCACGATGATGGTGAAGGAGGCGATGGCGAGCTGGAAGGGCGAGGCGGTGAAGGCCGCCATGGAAGAAGAGATCCGCAGCCTCATCGGCATGGGCACTTGGGAGCTGGTCGAACGCCCACGCGGGGTGAACATCATGAAGAGCTGGTGGGTGCTGACGACCAAGTACAGCATCGGCGACACCGTCGAGCGCGAGAAGGCGAGGCTGGTCATGAAGGGCTTCACGCAGGTGTGTGGTGCCAACTACGACGAGACGTACTCGCCGGTGAGCAGCTACGTCACGCTGATGATCTTCCCCAGCATTGTCGCCGTCATCGACCTCAACTTGATGCAGCTCGACATGAAGTACGCTTTCCTGCAGTGCAAGCTTGACAGGGTGCTCTACATGTACCAGTCGGACTACTTCGACGATGGGACCGGCCGGGTGTATAAGCTGCTGAAGAACCTCTACTGGCTGAAGCAGTCGCCATTGCTGTGGTATAGGGCACTCGACAGTGTGCTGCTGGGCGCTGGCTGGAAGAAGAACCAGGTCAACGAGGCGCTCTACTTCAAGGCTGGCGACAACAGAGTGACCTGCTGTGTGCTGGTCTACGTCGACGACGTGCTCGCCGCCAGCAGCAGCCCCGCGATGCTGAAGGAGCTAAAGGAGCTGTTGGAGGCTGCCTTCGAGCTGCGCAAGATTTCGCTGGTCGTCAAGTACCTCGGGCTGGAGATCGTGCATGACAGGCCAGCGAGGAAGATGTGGCTTCACCAGCAGGGCTACGTCGACAAGCTGCGCAGGCGCTTCATGGACGAGGAGCAGGGCGGTCTTAGATTAGTGCGTCATTGTCTACCTCAACGACATCCTAGTTTACAGCGTGGACAAGCAACAACATTTAGCCGACTTGGAAGCAGTGTTCAAAGTTGTAGACGAGTATCGGCCACTGACGAAGGGTTCGAAGCGCGGCTTTTTTCAGGACTGCTTAGATTTTCTAGGTCACGTCATTTCGGAGGCTGGAGTTTTAGATTGACTCGAAAAGGTTGGACACTGTACAATCGTGACACCCCCCGACGAATATCACGGATCTGCTAAGTATATTGGGGTTTGTTAATCATGAGTGTTGGTTCGTCCCCAACATGGCACGGTTAAATGGGCCACTTACAAACTTACTACAAAAGGGGGTCGCTTTTACGTGGGGGGGGGGGAGCATGCTGCCTTCTCTGCCCTGGAAAACATACTATATTTGCCGCATGTCTTACCCTCGCCAACCCACACCGCCCCATCCCAGTGATTATCAATGCCAGCGATATCGCCATTGGAGCAGCACTATTACAGGACTTCGGTAACAGACTATTGCCCATCGCATACGAGTGACGGAAACATCATGCACTTGAGAAGGATTTCCCGATACACGACCGCTAAATGCTCACGATCGTGCACGTGTTCAAAGTGTTGCGCTGTTACCTGGCCGGTGCAGACGTGATTGTACGGACAGACGATCGATCACTACAGTACCTCCGTGCACAACCCCACTGTTAGAATAGTATGAGCCATAGCTAGGGTATGAGCTAGGCAAGTGTCGAGAGAGTTGAGATAGCTAAGGAAAAAGTGATGCACTAAGAGAATAAGGTACAAGATATAGGAGCGAGAGATGGCAAAGGGTGCACCACCTACAGGGACTAAAACAGTAACTACACTACTCTATAACTATATGCAATTATACTGAAATATATATATAATATATTCTGACACACCCCCTAACTGCATGCAGGAATAGCCATGTGCAGAACACCCCCTGAAGGGGTACACCCTGCGCATCGGAAGAAGGAGAGGGCAAATGAGGAGGAGGCGGCTGATGCTGCAGCTGGACTCACAGCACCCCCTCAACCTCCCCCCGCACAGCAGCAGCAGCAGCAATGAGGAGAGAGAGGAGGAGGCGTGGCGGGAGTTGCTGCAGTTGAGTCACCCGCCTTCCCCCCCCCCGGTTACCCCCCCCTCAACTGCTGCACGCGCAGCAGGGAGAGGGAGGAGGCTGGCGCTGTAGGTGTATCCTCCCCTGCACACCTTCCACCCCCACACCCCTCCCCTCCCCCCCAACTGCTGCACGTGCAGTAGGAAGAGGGAGGAGAAGGGAGGGGGGCAGGGTGGAGGGAGGTGGCTGATGCTGCAGCTGGACTCACACCACCCCCTCAACCTCCCCCCACCAGCAGCAGCAGCGGCAGTGAGGAGAGAGGAGGAGGCGTGGCGACATTTGCGGCAGTTGTGTCACCCACCACCCACATCCCCTGAGCCTCCCCACCACTTCACACTCCCCCCCACAGCAGCAGGTGCGGCTGGGAGAGAGAGGAGGCAGGCTGGCGCTGTAGGTGCAACCTCCCCCGCACACCCTCCCCTCCTGATGCGTGCATGGGGTAGGGGCTGTGCATGGGGCTGCAGATGCGCGTGCAGAGGGCAGCAGGGCGCACGGGGCGCACAGGGCCGCAGGGCGCGCGGGGCACGCAGGACAGCAGGGCGCGCGTGGCGCGCAGGGCTGCAGGGCGCGCGGGGCGCGCAGGGCAGCAGGACAGCAGTGCGCGCGGGGCGCGCAGGACAGCAGGGCGCGCAGGGCGCGCAGGGCTGCAGGGCGCACGGGGCGCACAGGGCAGCAGGGCAGCAGGGCGCGAGGGGCGCACAGGGCTGCAGGGCAGCAGGGCGCGCGGGGCGCACAGGGCAGCAGGGCACGCGGGGCACACAGGGCTGCAGGGCAGCAGGGCACGCGGGGCGCACAGGGCTGCAGGGCGCGCGGGGCGCACAGGGCAGCAGAGCGCGCGGGGCGCACAGGACAGCAGGGCGCGCGTGTCGCGCAGGGCTGCAGGGCGCGCAGGGCAGCAGGACAGCAGGGCGCGCAAAACGCGCAGGGCTGCAGGGCGCACGGGGCGCACAGGGCAGCAGGGCAGCAGGGCGCGCGGGGCGCACAGGGCTGCAGATCCCCTCCCCCCCACTGCTGCACCCGCAGCAGGGGGATGGAGGAGAAGTGGGGGGCGGGGGGGGGGGGGCTGGTGCTGCAGATCCCCTCCCCCCCACTGCTGCACCCGCAGCAGGGGGATGGAGGAGAAGGGGGGGGGGGGGGGGGGGGGCGGGGGGGCTGGTGCTGCAGATCCCCTCCCCGCCACCCCCTTAACCTCCAAGCTCCCCCCCCCCTCCCAACACAAGGTGCGGCAGGGAGAGAGAGAGGAGGAGGTGGTGGGTGGCTGGTGTTGCAGAAACCCCTCCTGCCACCCCCTAGGTCAGCCACCCCCCGGAACCGCACCCCTCTTGCCACCCCCTCACCCTCCATGATCCGCGCCCCCAACACCCTTCCCTCCCCCCCCCCCCTCCTTTTCTGCTGCACGTGTAGCAGGGAGAGGGAGAACGAAGTTGGGGGGGGGCGGGTCCTCGGGCGACGAGGCAAGGGGCGACGAGGCCGCGGGCAACAGGTCCTCGGGCAACGTGGCCGCGGGAAACAGAGCCGCAGGCGACGGCGCCTTGGGCGACGAGTCCGCGGGCGACTGGGCTGCGGGCGACGGGGCTGGCGACGGGCAGCGGTTGCTGGCATTCGCGAACTCGCTGGTGGGTCTAGGGGCGATGGGTGACGGGCCGGGCCTAGGGGAGACGGGGCCGAGGGGCGACGGGCCTAGGGGCGACGGGGCCGGGGCCTAGGGGCAACGGTGCCGACGGGCCTAGGGGCGGCGGGCGCGACGGGCGACGGGCCAGAACCGGGGCCTAGGGGCGTCGGGCGCGAGCGACGAGGCCGAGGGGCCTTGGTCGACGGGGGGCCGCGGGGCGTAGGGCCGTGCCTAGGGGAGCGACGGGCGCGAGTGATGGGCCGGGGGGCCGGAGCCTAAGGGCGACGGGCCTAGGGGCTACGCGCGACGCGCGACGGGCCAGGACCGAGGCCTAGGGGCGACGGGGCCGAGGGGCGACGGGCCTAGGGGCGACGGGCACGAGCGACGGGCCGGGGCCTAATGTTGAGAGAAGGGCCACACGAGGGTGGCGCGTAGGGCAGCAGGTGGTGGGCCCAAAAGAGAGTAGGTCCTCAGGTTAGAACCAGCTCTTAATACCATGTTAGAATAGTATGAGCCATAGCTAGGGTGTGAGCTAGGCAAGTGTCGAGAGAGTTGAGATAGCAAGGAAGAAGTGATGCACTAAGAGAAAAATGTACAAGATATAGGAGCAAGAGATGGCAAAGGGTGCACCACCTACAGGGACTAAAACAGTAACTACACTACATCTATAACTATATGCAGTTATACAAAAATATATATGTATAGTATATTCTGATACCCACCTCAACCCACGACGGATTCGCTGGTTGGACTTTTTGGAGTCCAAGTTTCACTTCACGGTCACCTATAGATGGGTGCCTCCAACATCGCCGCCGCATTGACCCGCCCCGCAGCCCAGATCTACGCGATACCAATTGCCTAGACCATCCCATTACTCATAGGACTATTTACCCACGGTTATCAAATCGATCCGTTCTTCACTGGTGGCAACTCGCTGCAGTTCGCAGCTGCACGAGGGGTGTATTGCGTGAAAGCCAGCGCCAATCGTATCTAGGTACCAAGCTACTCCCTGCTGCGGGAATTATTACTAGGAGGCAAACGACGGGATTACCTCACGACATTTCGTGGTCGAAAAGCACGACAGCATCTGCAGCGCCATTATTACTGGCCCGAGATGCTGACTGGCGTACAGCGACACGCGGCATCGTTTTCCACCTGCCAGCCCATGAAGTCATCACGACAGCGGCTGGCAGGATTGTTGCAGCCGATACCAACCCCAGAGCGTGCTTGGCAGCAAGTGACATTGGACTTTGTCACGGGGTTGCCGGTTGGGGAAAGCAGGAATGACGCGATCATCATGGTCGTTGTTCGACTAACGGAAATGGCTCATTTCGCAGCCTGCAAAAATCAATCTCAGCCGAAGAAACAACTCGCCTATTCATCGCCACATCGTTCGCCTACACGGGATTCCAGCAGCGATCATCAGCAACCGCAACACGAAGTTTACAAGCAACTTCTGGAGGAACTTGTGGCGGCAGTTTGGCACGCGACTACAGCTCAGTTCATCATACCACCCCAAAACAGACGATCAAACCGAGCGCACCAATCAGACCATAGCAATAAATTCGAGCCGTGTGCGACGACCTGTCAACATGGGAGCATCAGTTGCCAATCAACGAGTTTGCATGCAACGGCTCCATGTCCGCCACCACCTCCCGTAGAGGCCCCGTCAGCCCTCAGTCACGCCTTCATAAAAGACCCCGTCGTCTCCCCATCGCGCCCCTCCCATATAGGCCCCAATGGCCCCCCCGTTGCCCCTCCTGTATAGGCCCCGTCTGCCCCCCAGTCGCGCCTCCTGTAGAGGCCCCGTCAGATCCCCCCGTCGTGCCTCCCCTAGAGGCCCCGTCCCCCCCCACCCCTCCCCCCCCCTCTCCCTCCCCCCTCCTCTCCCCCCACCCCCCTCTCCTCCCACCCCCCCCTCCTCCCCCCAACAAGTTACGCCCCTCTCATCACAACATAGTCGCGCCTACAACCGCCATTTGCGTCTTGAGCGCCTGATACTGTTGTGCCCGATATTGCCGCGCCCAGAGCTGACGCGCCTGTTACTGCCACGCCCAGAGCTGGCGCGCCAGTTACTGCCGCGCCTGCCACGGCCGCTGCTCCTGCGCTTGCAGCTGCCGCGCCCGTTACCACCACGCCTGCATCTCCAGCACCAGCTCCGCCAGCGCCAGCCGTGCTATCAACCCCAACCGCGGCAGAGCTAGCGCCAGCCACACCACCAGAGCCAGCCACGCCAACGCCAACCGTCCGTGCCAGCCGCTAGCCAGCCCGCGCTAGCAGCGCTTGTCGCGCCAGCTCGCGCCAGCAGACGCCAACCAACTCGCCGCTCGTGCTAGCCGCTTGCCACCTCGTGCCAGCATTTCCTGTGGGTCAGCGTGCACTTCCGCGCCGCCCGCACTTGCTGCGCCGCTGCCATATGAGTATGTAGTGCTCGCGCTTGCGCTTGCCACTCCCACTCATGCAGCCATCGCGCCACCCTCCTTGTTTCCTGCCATCTCCTCCACCTGTGGTTGTCTCATACCTTTGACTGCACCCTCGGTGGATTCCCCTTCCGTGCCACTCGCACTCAGCCCGAGCCAACTAGCAGCTCCGACCAGAAGAGTAAATCATGCTCACTCTTCACAATATGATGCATTGTCTTAAGAATTGAGGAACCAAGCTGAAGGATAACATCGAATGGATATGAACTAGTTTATTCTTACGTGTTTGTGTTTCAATAAACTGTATATGAATGTGCTTGTGTTTCGCTATTTTCTGTGTTTCGAACTTGAGCAAATCAGCAGGTTTGCTGAGTGTTACGAGTGCAATGGAGTGAGCGAGCGAGGATTGCACTATCGAGACAAGATACAACGAGCGAAGGATTGAGCGAATAATATATAGCGAAGCTATAGTGGTAACGGTAAACATGTGGGAATTGGGGTGCGCGACGGGCCTGGCGCCGAGGTTGGGTATTGTCGAGGCGGAGGTCCAGAGCGCGGGTTACCAACCGAACCGTGAGGTTGGGTCCCATCGTGACTATTGGCGGGAATGGTGTCGAGGCGAATGTCACGAGTGGTAACGGATTACTGTGGGGTGCTGTTTGGCGGGAACAGTGGTGTACGCGCTGAGCAGGGACGCGAAGTAAGTAAAATGAATTTTCCTTACACTACCCCCCCCCCCCCCCCCCCCCTTAAGGAGGCCTCTCTTACGAGAGTGCGTGTATATCCCGGAAATTCCGGCTGCGCAGATACTCGGTGAGGACGGGGTGGTTTTTGATTTTGTCCAGTGGAACCCAATTGTCCTCGGTGGGCGTGCGGTCTCTCCAGCGGATCAGGAATTCGACCCTTCGAGCTCCTCGTGGGTCACGAACTCGGTGGCTCATAATCTTCTCGGGCGTGATGACTGGTTCTGTCGATGGTCGTGTCATTCTGGCTGGGCGATTTCGGGCCACTTGGCTGTGTCAGATACATATGACTTAGCCTTTGTAGGCTTTAGTGGGGTAGCCACTAAGGGGTACAGGTTTCATATTTGTATCTCACACTTTCCTAGTTCATTCATTCCTCTGTTTCTTTACATGGTATAGAGCAGGTTCCCTAGTGGAACTGTTCCTTCCTATGGGCCCACCTTAAATTTTTTTTTTTCCTGCCCGAAGCGCGCTTTACGCCCTGCCCTAATCTTTCTCGGCCCCTTAGCGGCCTGCCCTGCCCGTCGCGGCCCCTTACTAGGCCCCTTACGCGGCTCCCTACACGGCCCCTTACGCGGCCCCCTACGCGGCCCCCTACGCGGCCCCATCGCGGCCCCCTAGCGCGGCCCCGACCCTGTCCCGGCCCCGTCGCGGCCCAGTCGCGGCCCTGTCGTGGTCCCGTCGCGACCCCCTCGCGGCCTCGTCGCGGCCCTGTTGCAGCCTTGTCGCGGCCCCGACCCTGTCCTGCCCCGGCCCCGACCCTGTCTCGGCCCCGTCGCGGCCCCGTCCCGGACCTGCCCCGGCCCCGACCCTGTCCCGGCTCTGCCCCGGCCCCGTCGCGGCCTCGTCCCGGACCTGCCCCGGCCCCGACCCTGTCCCGGCCCTGCCCCGACCTCGTCGAGGCTCCGTCCCGGACCTGCCCCGGCCCCGACCTGCCCCGTCCCGGACCTGTCCCGGACCCTGTCCCGGCCCTGCCCCGGCCCCGTCGCGGCCCCGTCCCGGACCTACCTCGGCCCCGTCGCGGCCCCGTCCCGGACCTGCCTCGGCCCCGACCTACTCCCGGCCCCGGCCCCGACCCTGCACTAGCCCCGTTGCGGCCCCGTCCCGGACCTGCCCCTGCCCCGACCCAGTCCCGGACCTGTTTCAGCCCTGCCCCGGCCCTCCCTCGGCCCTGCCCCGGCCTCGCCCCTGGTAAGAGCATAGCAGGGCCGAGCCGCGCTGCCCTGCCGAGCCGCCCTGCCGAGTCGCGCTGCCCTGCCGAGCCGCCCTGCCGAGTCGCGCTGTCCTGCCTAGCTGAGTTGCACTGCTGCTGCTGCTAGCCTACTGCTGCTCCTGTCATGGCTAGTCCTATTGTTCTTACCTTTGACGCTGAGGGTCGAGCGGTTGACTTCGATGTCTGGCTAGATGATCTGCAGCTTTTCCTACAGTGCGATAGCAAGGATGGTCTCTCACTGTTTGATCTCACGTCTGGCGCCTCTACTGCCCCTGCTGCTGATGCTGACAGTACTGTTCGCTCGCAGTGGCTCACGCGCGATGCTGCTGCCCGCCTTGCTGTGCGTAGTCACCTACCG